AAATCTGTGATGCTTTAGAGATCTAAAGCTTATGAGGTACTCTGGGCAACTTAATATAAGTATTTTTTTATGGTATATGTATCTTATGTATATTTATATTGACTTGCATATTAGATATTGAGACCAAAATGATGTGTTTATACTTTAGAAATAAAAAGGCCACTATGTAAAGTGTTGGCTTGACGTGGTTTCGCAAAGTGGGTGGAGTAACAAGGATGCCTTGTGTCAAAATTTACATCAGCCATTTTACACAATTTAACAACCTCTACCGTATATAAGTTACCGCGCAATCAACACGTAACGAGTAGTATGCAAATTCGCTAAGCAGTTTTAAGTAAGGTCTATGCTTGAATAATATATCTAAATTTACTGAAGGACTTAGTAAATATTAGAACTTTCTACTTCTCCATTCACTTTAGTAAATATGTCCTCAAATATATGAAAGATTTCTGTTATCGTTTCCCATATAAAGGGAGGTCAGAGTCACCATACATTATATAAACTATATTATTTTCGAAACCAGGCAATCTATCCTCAACGAGGTGTAATGAATTAGCTTGCTGATAAGATTTAACCTTATTCTGTACAAATTTAATATGAAGTTTGTATTTACTGAAATCTCATTTGTTATTATTATGTGTATGCATCAAGAAAGATATAATTGTATCTTTTAGCGCAGGTTGGCCCTTTTTCTAATTGAATAATTAGAGTAATAGGGGGATCGTAAGCCACTCTGTGGAGGTAAGCACTTATTTGCGTCAACATCGTATTTGACAAAGTGACTTCCTGACTTAGCAAGGAGTTATAATAAGCAAAATATAGCCACCACTTCTAAGCAAAATTTTATTTCACGTTATGAAATTTATTTTTCTCTTTCATTCAAGCACTTTCATATCCCCATAACTCTTTATTCAAAACCCTCATCCTCATTTCAACTTACAAACTCTCAGCTACCGTGATCAGTTACCCTCTCTGTTAACACATACCAGTAGTCTTCTTCATTTTTTACGCATTCCAACATTCCTAAGTTTAAAATTGCTCTCAAGCTTCATTTTCTGTCCCTTTAAATTCTCATTTCTGCGATTCCGTTTATATTAGATAGACCGTCACTGGATTAGAGCTTTCTGACAAGTGGCATTGGCAATGATTTGACTTTTTATTGGTCCTGTGAGAATATGTAAGAAGATATGCTATGTGCACTGCTAGACATTTAAATCCTCATAATGAATAATTCAGGAAACGAGCCTTCTGGATGTCTCACCGAAATTAACTTAAAATCATATGAATCTAAGATAGAAGCTATGCTTAAGATTTGAAATACCTTCTGTGAATCTGCCGGGAAACAAGACGGAAAAATATTACTAATCAATTTCTGATAATTTTATCCACAATATAACTCGTAGAATTATTAGAAATTTAATAATTGAGTGTCAATTTTCTTTTCTAATATCAATAAAAACAATCTAATTATAGCGAAAGATGAAAATGGTAAATAGTAAGCTGTTTTACAAGACCATATACGGCATGTTCATAAAAACCATTTGGATTCGCCGAAACAAAATTTAATTTATTTTTCCTAAAAGAATTAAACAAATAGGGATATAAAATTTTATAACTAGTATATAATTAATTTTAGGTATAATTACTAGTATGCGGGTTTGCTCAATGTTCCAAGGTTCCTAGACTCTTTATTACATAATAAATCACCTTCAAATTATTAAATTTCATCAGCAAAATACATGTATTGTAAGAATAATATGACTAAGTATGAATTAAACATAAACCCATGACAATTAAGTCATTAAAAATTGTATAATGTAACAATAGGTTCTCCAATAATATTATAATAAGAGATAAAATTAAAAGCAAAATAGTTTTTAATAATAAATTAGACATTTTCGGGCTATTTTTAATATAAGCATAAATTTTAGAGGTTTATTGAATTTTTTAATAAGGAATGAATGCATTAAACGTGCTATTTACCTATTTATAATGTTTTGCTTATACTGCAATTTTGTTTAATTTTAGTTATTTCTTTCATTTGCGCCGATGGAATCAATAATAAAGATTAATGGATTAAAGTCTGTACGTACTCATCAGCCTGCGCTACTGCAAAATTCATGTCCTAAAAATCTCCTTAAGCCAATGAAATATGTAAATAAAAGCTCAAAAAGATCACAATCATTGTACCTTTTGGAAGCCGTATCTGAGAAAAGCCAGCTTTTTTACTCTAGACAACATAATGCCAATGCACTTTACTTCATTGCTCCTGGTGGGCATCTGCGGATACCGGGATGGCGAGTTGTTTCTAGTGGATCCATCTCTTTTAGGATTCTTACAAAATCTTCAAACGCTTTATTAATTTATGCTAGCTCTCTTGAACTACTTGACATAATGGGCCGCCGAGTCCATAATGATATGTCAATGGATGTAGCTGACGGTCAAACTGGAATAAGCATCTCAGCGGAAGGAATTGATGGAGATTTTGGTGGTGGTCAAAGGGGTATCGGGAGTGGCGACCTTTTCGCATTAGAGCTACGTGAAGGTCGATTAGTATGCTTGATGGACGCAGGGGGCGGTCTAATTCAGACAGTAGCAATGGAGACGACTGGATCCAGGACAACAGGTGGGTTATCGGATGGCAAGGAGCATTTAGTTAGAATAGAAATATCTCTTGGTGATGAGATCCTGACGAATACTAAGAATACGAAGCCAGATATCAAACATGTTATCAATTCTGCAGATGCTAATTTTACAAGAGCTGAAAGAATCGGCACTACTAGAGTAAAGGGGACTGGTGCAATGGTGAAAATATGGATCGATGGTAAAGAAATCGCAACCCAACAGAGAAGAAGTATTAGCCGTAGTGGAAGCGCGAGGAATGCTGAAGAAGCAACGTGAGTATGATAATATAAAATTAATCTCTATAAGCCTCAGGCATAAAAGCATTATTTTTCGTATATAAGCAGAGTTTCAAACTATAAAAAAATTATGACCAAAATAAATTGGATAGAAATGGTAGAATCTTATTTGGACGCTAATTTAATTGCAATTTGTCGCTAGGAATCAGAATGATTTAATGAATAATTAATGTACACCTTAAATTTATAGAGGTAATTTTATCCCTCAACAGGAGGTTCTCATTGTGTTTAAATAAATGCATATATCAGGTGGGAGTCAAAAAGCTCCTAATTGTTTTAATGAGATTAAGTATAATGATGAAATTATGGGCCAGTATAAAACGTAACTCTTGATTCAGAGACACTTATCCATAGATAAATTAATACTGGCCTTACTTTAGGATACTCAAGATTAATCCAAATTTCTTCCAAATTTTATTTAATGATAGCTCTCCACACATTACAAGCATTTATGAAATATTTTTATCTGCATTTAATTTTACTTCGAATATCATTTAAAGTCTACTGGATGTGAACTATATTTATATCAAAGAGATTAAAGGAACACAATTTTACTTAAATTAATTGTACGCCTTATAAAGTTTATTAAAGTTCTCTGAATTTTCAGTCACTTATAATATGACGGAGTGAGAAAGACTCGGATTCACAATCATTACAATATGTTCTGAGAAATACTATGTCACAAATACTATCGGAAAGTTCATATTCTCAACCAAGAAATGCGGTAAAAAATCGTATAAAATATCTGGTCCATTAATTAGTTTGTTTCCATACTTATTATAATTTATTAAGCTTGTAATCAAACTAGCAAATAATCTTATTGATGATATAAATATTGGTTGTCCGAAGACATAAAAGTGTATTAGATACCGCTTTCGATTTGTCGCATAATCATTGAATCCCATACGATTCTGCATATATCAGCCGTATAAAAATGGTCGTTAATTTCAAGCATAGGCATTTTGGTTTATATGAAAAAGTTACCATTTTCTCTGGAGGTACTATTTAAGGTTTGCGCTTATAACCAGCAATTTAAACTGTGTTATGTAAAGGCCAATTCGATGTGGCCTGCAATTTAGTCACTATCTTTTTTATATGAAGGCGTTACAATCCTATATTGTATCATAGTAGAAATATACCAAGTCCAAAATCCGACGAAGGAAATTATCATGTCTATTATAGCAGAGGTCTTCAGATAAGATACATTCACTGAAATCCTTCTGATGATAAAACGAAGTTGAGAAAATGAGATCAAACCACTTTATCTGAAAGGGTACCAAAAGTCTTATTTCCCTTATTTGAGAAACTAAATAGAAAAAAAGCAATGTCACACAGAGACTTAAACTTTCATTAATATTAATTTTAAGGATCTGAATTATCATCGTGTAATTTAATAAAAGCAAATAAGAGCCTTCCAGAGTTAGTACGTTTTATGAGAGTAAGATAAGAGAGATATAAAGGAGTATTACATAAATATTAACCTGAAAAATGGTTTTTGCTAAAGGTAAAAAACTGAACGGGAGACTTTCAAATCATAAATAAATAGTATTAATTAATCATTAAGAAAGGAAGTGAAACTTTGAATTTGAGATAAATATTTCGATTAGTAATTTATATAATCCGACTATAAGGAGGAAAGTAAATGGAAAGAGGAGTAAGAATTAATGAGATTATTTTGTTCCTAATCACTCTGAATATTTGCTTCATAGCGAAAATATACTTAAATAGTGTTAAATATTTAAATAATTCATCGAATATTTTGAAATCGAAGGTATTAAGAAAATTTCGAAACAAACTACTTCTATTGGTCTATAAAGAGTAACTTAACGAATTTTCAGGATATTATAGGTTTTGAGGTATAATTAACACTAAAATTGTAAGTCATATATTTGGAGGAATCTCTTTTGATATTAAGAAGGATGATATAGATTAGGTATGCTCTTACACCGGCTATACACAGGTGAACGTAATAGAAAGTTCCTTTATTTTAATAGCTTTGACTATTAGGATTGGCTGAACGTTGGACTGGTGTGCTTGCAGAAAATGTACATACGACAAATATATCTGTGATAGGAAGGCCAAAATCTTTCAATCTTTGTTTTGGCAGCAGTCTTCTTCACTGTATTAGAGTGGTTTTACCTCGTTTTCCAATTGCTCATGTCATAAATAAGCCCTAGATGAGCACACCTTATAATGAAGCCCTATGCTTATTAATTATGACAATGCTCATGAGCTCATCACATCCACTAAGCTTTAGTAAAATTGTATACAGCATCATCAGCGAGTCTTACCATTCTTGGCACCATTCTGTAGCATTAAGAGACACAAAAATGCTGCATCTTCTGTGAATCTTTTGACTATTTTTCTATTCAAAAATTAGGAGAAACTTATAATGTGGAGAGTAATAAGTTGTTTAATCTCATATATATTAAATCAAAGCTCCGATGATATATTTTCAAGATTCTAACTCCAGAAGATTTGTAAAAGTTTTGTTGTATGCTTGACATAATGTCAACCTGGGGTTAAATATGAAATGACCATTACAAAAGTTGCATAGATATGAGATTATAAGATAGCATAAGTAATAACATATAGTGATCACTAGCACAGTAGGAAAAAAATCATAAATTTATCCTCGGCTGATACCATTGTGATCCATAAGAAAGGGCTAAATTTTCTCCTCAAAATAAGAGGATATAAATATCTTCTGAACGTCCCCTGAAATAATAAAATATGAAATTGAGGTGGAACTTATTCCGAGAAACTTGACACATCAAGAACGAGTAAGCAGGAGCAGCTCAACAAGAATAACAAAACTACACAAATGACTGACCAATTAGTCTTTTAAGCGGATAAAGTAGAAGCAACAGTAATAATGGAAGGGAGGCTTACTATGAGACAGGACCGCATACAATGTACCAACGAAGTAGTGAGCAATAAAGACCGGCCGAGCACAACGGGGTATGCTAAAAGCAATGCACAAGTATGTATAAATCGACAGATTGATGTTAACTTACTAGTAAGAGAGGAAGCACAACTGCGCACGGCCTACGGATTACCGTAACAACACAACATAAAGTAGATTATTGACAACATTTATGCAGCAACACATAAATTGGCTGTGTTTCTATACTAAAAATTCGTAATGGTAAATCACAAAGTAGTAAGAACCGTAAAGAATTCATTTTAACTTCCTTAGAAGATAAAAAATAGATTATTAGAAAAGACAAAATTATTCATAAGTTTTATATAACTTCTCTTTATAAAAAATCTTGGATTAATAAGAGAATATCCTGGTAACAAGGAGAATCAGGAAGGAGTTTGTAACTTGACTATTTAACATGATAATTTGGACTACTTAGCGAAACTTTCAACATCAACATCCATGAATAGATATTTGGATTTATTATCTTGGAATTTTGGGATGAAGAAGTGATCAAATTGACTCGGAAGTACATTGTCAACTGCGATGTGACATAGGTTATACTAAAAGGCACACGAGCAGTTAAATATAAAGGGTATGATAGGGATAATACTAATTGCGTAAGACTCATACAATTAGATATGCCTATCTTCCTGCAAACTAACTCCGAATCTTTGACAGTTATTAAGAAAATAGAATATTCAAGTGATTACAGAAGAAAAACGAACCGTTTTTACGGGTTTACTGACGCAACATGAAAACAGAAAAGTTGGATTGCTTAAGAGTTTAACGCGTAATAGTATAAGTATTTTCACGAAGAATATAGATTTGCCATGAAGATATGGCTGTTATCCTTAAGCTTGCAAATCACTCCACTTCTTGGTGTGACCATCATCTGTATGCAACAAAAGACTTGGTATAGATCATGAGAAATGACGCAACATATTTGCCATAAATTATTTTCTTAGTGAGTATGTTTTCAAGACTACCAGTCATATATTTGCTATCATCTCTAACATAAGATTAATATAGTCATATTTGAG